CAGGATCTCTGCAATCCAGCCACCTGGGCACTCTCAGTCCCTGTCCATGGCCTTCAGGAGCCACGTATAAACATGGCAGTGAGGCCAACCCAAGGATGGAGGATCATTCCTCTTAAAGACTTGAGAAGGTCTCACTGGGGCATGGGGAACCTTGGCTCTGGTTCTGACCATGATGCTAGTATCTTGTATCTTGGTAGCTTCAAGCCAACCACTTCACCCACTGGAGTCACTGTATCTTTTACTTGTAGGACGAAGGGGCTGAGATTCGGGTCTTGCAGAGGAACGTCTGAGTTGCCATTTCTGGATGAATGAGGAGTTAAGGTAAGATTGCCTGCTGGAACACAAATTCTCAATGGGATCACACAACATGTTTTATATCATGGTTACCAGTCGGGACTAGCTGGCCAGGGGGCCTTCCTATGTGACTATCCAAGGGCCTGGGTCCTTCTGTGGCTCTGTGCACCTTTAAACTGGGAGCTTTGTGAGATTTCCAAGAAGAGTAGAGCAGAGCGACGCATGAATGGTCCAAATCAAGATGATTCAAAACACTTGCACTGGAAATTTTTTTGGCCAGGTCTGGAAGTGCCCTGCACCCCTCCCACTCACATTTCATGGGCCAGAAGTTGGCCACAAGGCCACACCTAGGCACGAGGAAATCTGGGAAACGTGGTCTGGCTGTGTGGAGAGGAGAAAACGTGTCGGCTACACAACCAGCCAGCTGGGGAGAGAGAACCGTTTGCCACTTGAAATGGCAGGCCTTCCTGGCTGTCCTCGACTTACCAAAGGGTCTAAAACCATACACTTCGACCTCAACCAGGGGAATCGCGTACAGGAGGGTGTTACAGTAATGTCACTGCAAGAGGACAGCAGGCTGGATTAGGGGGTGCGTCCACACCTCCAGGTTTTCCCAGGAGTGGCCCAGCTCAGGCCTGGGGTCTGGGCATTCCAGTCCCAGTTCAGATGACAGATTATATAATCACCCAATAGAGGAAGGAAGAGAGTACTGGATTTGGTGAAGATGCAGGATATTGCTGAAGAGAAGCCATAGAGCCACTGTTCCATAAAGACAGTATTTTTTTTTTAATTTTTAAAATTCTGCATCTGAAAACACAGTAATGACAGAAAGCATCTATATACACCTGCAGTGTTTTTGGTATGATACAGTATTTAATACATCCACTGTTTTCTGCAAAAAAATTTGCTTTGTCAGACAGAAACAAACTCCCCTAGACAAAAAAAATACAGCTAAGGCACAATTTTGTTGTTTTTCTGCTAAATGAAGATACAGAAAAGGTGCAAAAATGGGTGGGTAGTGCAATCGCTTCCGAGAAACACTGTCTACCTCGAAGAAAAGTGTTCGTAGGATCGGAACTGTGATGACTGGTCAATTTCAGATAGTTCAATCTCTTTTAAAATACTCCTTTAAATAAATAGCAAAATATCTACATCTTTCAGTGTGTGCCATTGGAATTCTTTTTTTAAACTTTATTTACAGATTTTTTTAAATCAATACATTACAAAATATTTCTGTACAGTTTTATGCATATCATGATCGATAACAAAATAGTTATTTTTAAAAACTATATCACCACATGTCTTTGAAAAAAAATGAGGGGGACAGTAATAACTTATCATGAGGCCTCTACAAAATAAAACAAATGCTACTGACAACATAATATTAAAAACAAAAAAGAAGACGGAGAAAGGACTCTAAGGACGGTTGCACTCAATTCCAGTGAATTTCCTATGAGAACCCTCGGGGGTTGTCTTTGGCCTCCAATGGGACCTGGGGCGACAGAAGTCAGGAGCGTGATCCCTTTGAGAACACAACCCATCTGCTGGGAATACGGAATGCTCTCCCTTTCCAGGCAGGAAGGACGAAAGAGAAATCGAGACACTCTCCTGATTTACCCTTGAACGAAGTACAAGAAATCATCAAGCCTGGGGGGTAGGGGGCGGGAGAGGGAGGACGGCAGAGCAGGTGCTCACAGCCGGCTGGGGCGGAAGCCGAGCTGGTGCCTCGGCGGTGTGCGCGGACAGCTGCACCAGTGAGCTGCCGTTGGCGGGAGCACCGGAGCCTTCATTTTACCCAGAGGAACACTTTTTCTTAAAGACGACACATAGAAGCCATTTCTGTTGTGTCTGCAACCTAGAGATGGGCAGCCCCTGGCTGAGGAGGTTGCCCTGAAAGCGTCGGGATGCTCTTTCTTCTCGGATGTTGGTAGAAGTTGGAGGGAGAGGGCAGTCAGCTTTCCAAAAATAATGTTAAGGCCACATTTCAAAAAGGAGACACCTAAGGCTTTTGGGGGGTCGGTGGGGGAAGCAGGGGAGGAGAAGCAAGTGGGAGGGAAATGAGGATGGAGCAGAGATGGTGTCCAGGAAGGGGGGGTGGGTGCCAGGGGCAGAACCTGCTTTCCTGGGGACTCCGGGGGCAGAGGCAGTTGGAGCGTTCCCAGCCAGAGGGAGGGGAGGGGAGGGCCGGGCCGCCTTCTCCCTGCGTGGGGCTTGGTGAGGACAGAACCAAAGACAACGTGAGGGGTACACACAGGTGGCGCGTGAAAGCCCTCCTCGGTCTTAAGAGGGGTCTACACAGTATCTTGTTTGTAAGGTAAAACAAATAAAAAAACCCAAACTTCCGAGAGAAAGAGACACAGAGAGGGAAACAGAGAGAGGGAGAGAAATTTGCATAGATTGTACATTCAGCTCCAGCACATTTGGGACACCTAATTATTTCCCCCCCTCCCCAGGTAAACTTCTCAGCAGACAAATGAGGTAGCGCCTGTGGTAGACCCATGGGCAAAAAGTAAGGTAACTGAGTTGCAGAGGGTGTCCCGTGAGCCAGCACAACTCCAGCACAGTGTCCAAGACATGTGCCAAGATGGCTGCTCAAACCCGGGACTGTTTGACACACCCCTCCCTCCCTGGACCCTGTCCTTGTCACCTCCACCTGGGCAGGCTGGAATTCTGGAAGGTGTGGGCCTCTTAGGTCTCCAAATTCTTTTTTTTTTTTTTTTTTAAAGCACCATCTTGGGACCAGGCCAGCCCCACACGCCAGTTCTTCTGGGACCTTCTCCTCCGCGGGGCCATGTCTTCAGGGTGGAATGACCAGTAAGAGGTTCGTGTTCTCGCTTCAGAGCGATCGGCGAAATGAGCCATAATCTTTGCCCCTTCCTACTGGTGGCTCATTTCCTCCTCCACCAGGGCGCTGCCTGACCTCCTCGCAAACCATCTCTCCAGAGAGCAGAGGTGGTTGGCTGTGCACGGGAGGAACTGTGGAATTTCTCTTTGCCCACACTCAAAACCGAAAAAAACCCATGAAACAAAAACACATGGTTGACACTTAAAAATCAAATTTCCTATGAAAATCTGGATCTCTGGCTTCCTTTACCAAATTGGAAGATTCTGCAGGCTCACTTGCAAAGACGGGCTGCTGTCTTCGGATGGGCCGTGGGCACAGACCCCAGTCCCCACCACTCCCAATTCTTACGCCAACCATGTTAAGTGTTTGCGACCCCTACCACAGAGTGTGGCTTTGACCTGGCAGGGTTTGGCCAACAGCTGTTCCTAGTATACCCCGCCTTGGGTGCTGTTGGGGGCTTGTGTCCTGAGTCCCCGGTGGACTTTGCTGTGTAAGGGGTCTTGGCTCAAGCCCCACCTTCCACAGCTGCTTCTCTCTACTCTGCACTTTCCTGGTTAGAGCTGGAGGTTCCAGCCCATGTCCTCCTTGTACTTGTCAACCAGGGAGCCTGAAGGCAGCATGTCCACCCACCCCAGGTATGTGCCCAGAGGAGGTGCAGTGTGCCCCTTTTGGGGGCTAGGGTGGTCTTGCTCATCCTGAGGGCACTGGCATCTTAAACTAGCAAGGGGGGAATGAAGCCCGAATGACTCCTGATCTGACCAGAAAGGTCTTTTTCCAAAGGGAGGTAAGGGCCCCCTTGTTAAATATGGGGGGGGGGTCTATGCATTGCTCGCGTGCTCGAGGGAGACTGCTTTGCACCTGGCCTGGGCCGTGGGACTCGGGAAGACGGGCGGCCGCCTGAGCATCACTGGACGGGTTGGTTGGGAAATGACACAGGGTGCCACAGCCTCTTGAATGCTTCCTTCTCCCCAGACTGCCCCCAGGCTCCTGGTCAGGGAGCCGGGGGCCAGGCTTCAGGCTGTAACTGGGGTTCATCTCCTGGGGTTGGGTCCCACAGCCAGAACTCACGGCTGCCTGCCCTAGTGGCCTTTCCCCACTCACAGGCTGATGAAGTTCAGCTGTTACTGTGTCCTCTGGGAAAACATCACCTTTTTTCAAATCCTCCTGGGCTTTGTTTGGAAATTTTTGTTTTTAATAGCAATGTTATTCCCTGGTCCAAAACCAGAGATCTTTACAGAAACACGGGGTGTGACTGTCTGGCTTCTGAATTCCTTGCTGTGGGGGGCGGGGGGAGGGGTATGGCGCCCAGAGTAGACCTCTTCTGCTTCTTCTGTGGGGGTGGGGGATACCAGCAGTGTCATGGCTGCAGGAAAGGGTCTGCAGGCACACACACCAGATCCAGGCCTGAGCCCTGCACAGGACATGGGGGGAACCGTGGGACTCCCAGCAGTCTGGCCGGGAGGGTAAAGAGGAAGGCTCCCTGGGTGGGCTGGGGCAGAAAGAGGTGGTGGCACCGGCCGCTGGGCTCTTCATGGAGGGATGATCCGGGTTTTCTCAGCAAGCTCCTCCGAGGTCCCTGGAGCCCCTGGTGACCGTGGCTAGCTCTGGGCTCAGTCCGGCCACTCCCCGTCTTCCTAAACTGGTTTTCTCTCCATCTCAGGCTCGGAAGCAGGCCCTGCCATGGGTCCTCTGCCTCCACCTGAGTCATGAGCCTGTCTTGTCCCTGTGCCTGTCGTGGGCAGCAGGGATGGCTCAGGAATTCCAGCCCCACCGGGACCGGAGGACCCGCCGAGGCTCCCTCCTGCCTGAGGAAAAAGCAAGGCTCCAGTGTCCCCAGGGGTACCCCGCTTTCAGCCAGCGGATGATGCTGGTGCAAGCGTTCTCCTCGTGGTGTCCAACACCCCTGCTTTCCTCTGAGGACATGGAGAATGCGGGGCAGACAGGAGACAGACACTGGGGGCGGGGAAAGGGGGGGGGCCTTTCGTGAATAAAGGCAGCTTCAGTTAGTAAGAGACATAACTGACAAGCTGCAAAAGCAGCACCTACTCATTAGTCATTGACTAAAACATAGAAATAATAAATACCGAAAGTGTCCCTCCTCCAGACCCTCCCTGGCCCCCAGGACATGCGGCCTGGCGGGGCAGGGGCTGCGGGGTGAGTGTGGAGCAGTCAGGGGGAACTGCAGTACCTTCATACCCACGCTGCCCAGAAACACAAGGATGGGCCCTCCAGGGCAGTTAGCAACGAGGGGTGGGCCTTGGCCAAGGAAAGCCTGTCCTGGGAGGGGGGCCGGGGGGGGAGGCTGCAATTGGAGAAGGAAGGGGCCTTGGGATGGGCTCTCCAGCAGAGCAGGTCCGGCCCTCCGAGGCACACAGCAAGGACACATTTCAGGTTTATGGCAACTCAAGCAGTTGGAAGAACACTATTGTTTGTTTAGGCTGGAAGAACACTATTGTTTGTTTAGGCTTGAACCACTCTGATTGATGCTCAAGCTTCCAGCTTCCACCGGCACAGCACAGGGGCCTCCAAGGCACCTCAGAGAAGGGCGGGCATGAATTTAGAACCCAAGTCTGAAATGCTTGTTCCTGGATGTGAAAATCCCTGGTCACTTCCCTACAGCACCGGGGTGGGGCAATTCCCAAAGGTCTGGAGTGCCCGACCTCAGAGCGCAAGGGCTCAGGCAGGGGGTGGGTATTGCTGTGTTCAGCTCAGGAGTTGGCTCCAAACCATCTCTGCGTTTCCTGGCCATTGTCCTGAGTTCTCCCGGCCCCTGAATGGCTGGGAGATTTGATGCTCATACCCCTGAACCTCATCCCATTGATGCCACCTCCGGGGGCAGTCTGGAGGGAGGCTGGCCTGGACTGCAGACTTTGGGGAACCCCGGCCATGTCCCATCAAAAAGCTCTCCTGCTTATCTCGTTAGTAAGGAGGATAACTCACCGGACAAGGGTGGGTGGAAGGCTCAGCCAGTCCCCTTTCCCTGCTCAGGAGCAGGAAGATGAGCCCAAGGGTGGGGCTGGAGATCAAGCCCACGGTCTGGGCAGTGCTTTTCATACGGGGTTTTGCAGAACCCTTGGGTTCTGGGGAGGTACCTCAGGAGGTCCCCGGGCAAAGGGACTGCCCAGTGGGCTGAGTGTTGAGGAAGAACCTCAGACTCGCCAGCTTCAACCAGAGCAGCCTGGATTTCAACCACACCTTGACCTTCCACCTCCAACTACACTTAGTAAACAAAATTCTGCTCAAAATAAAAGTTGGAGAATCACTTGACTGGGGGGATTGGGTCACCGAGGGGGAGGACAAGGAACCTGGAGGCTTCGAGGATCCACCAGAAGAGGTAAGACCACAATGGCGCTGGGACCCAGCAATCCTCACCCCCAGGGGCCAGCGTGCCGCACGCGGGTCGTTGGCAGGAACTGCCTTGACCTCCGCACCTTCCTTCTCCACCTTTCTGTAGCCAGGAGAGCCCCCTCGTCCAAAAGGCAGCCCCGGGACTGGGGGGGCCAGGGTCCGGGCGCCACCAGCCCTCGAGCTGCTTTCCCTCTGAGATCTGCTGAGGCCCACGCGGGCCCGGTGCTACCTGAGCCGCCCATCGGGTTTGACAGCCCCCAGCTCGGACTTGGGGTCGGGGCTGAAGGAGCTCCAGGCCGTCTGGCTGCAGGGCTGCATGACGGGGCAGGCACTGAGGCCTGTGGTGCAGACGTCCATGGCAGTCCACATGCCACCTACCAGAGAGTCCAGCCAGCGCTCCAGCACTGCGCCCGTGGAGGCCGCGTTCCTCCGCGCCTGCTCCACCTGGGCCGGGCTGATGGGCAGGCTGAGGACGGGGTTCAGGCTCTGGAAGCTCTGCTCCATGTAGGCGCTGCGGGGGGGCCCGTTGTGCAGCTTCAATGCCTCCTCTGAAAGCCACAGGGAACAAGGAGATGGTCAGGAGAGTCACAGAGTGCGTACCACCCGGGTGCCTTGCGTGGCACTGGGCACCGCCCGGCACCATGTCCGGCACGGGACAGTCTCCTGGGGTTTGTCGGCAGCCCCGTGGCACAGACGAGGACATAGCCTCTGGGGACACTCCCTCCACAGCCATGAGCCCACTTTGTGCAGGGCACGGTCCACACGTCTGTCCACTGAGCACAGGCTTACAGAGCAGCTCAGCAGTCCAGACCATTCGTTCACTCATTCATTCGTTCAGTAAGTTTTCAGCACCTACTTTGTGCAAGGCATTCGTTCAACACATACCTCTATCTGCAAGGCACTCATTCATTTATTTGATAAAGATTAAGGGCCAGGCCCCACTCCACCTGGCGCGGAGGGAGCCAGATAAGATTACAGCCCTGCGGAGGGAGACTGAGGACAATCCATAGATATGGTCCTTTCAGCCGGTGATCAGTAACGCGAACGGACTACACTGCGTGCGGAGTCAGAGCAAGGGCTTGGCGCGCTGTGGTCCTTGGGCCAAGTCTGGCCCACCAAGTGTGCTAAGTCAAGTCTGACTAGGACACAGCTTTGTCTCTCTGCGGACCTGCCGTCTGTGGCTGCTTCTGCCACCAGAGCACCACGGAGTCATTGGGACAAACAGTGTGTGGCCCACAAAGCGGGAAAGGTCTACCGTCCAGCCCATACAGTAAAAGCTTGCTGGCCCAGGAGTTAGAGAGTGACAAGGATGTTTATCTGGATGAGGGGGGCAAGGGAGACCTCTCTGAGGTGCCACCCGAGCTGAGTGCTGGTTAATGAGAACGAGGAAGCCATATGCTGATGGTGGCAAAGAGAATTCCGGGCAGAGGCAAAACCTCATTAAAGGCCTTTCTGCAAATCACAGAGCTAATGAGAGTCGCAGCCAAAGTATGAGTCCAGGTCTGTTGACCTCAGCCGGCTCTCTCCACAGCCCGGCTTTGCTGAGCAGCACCTCATGCGTGAGCCTGCAGACGATAATCAGGGCACCTGGGTCTGAACCCACAGGGCTCACAGCCCTGGCGTGCAGCTTCCGACGCGCCTGCTCTTTCCTTGACCATCAGAGGAGTAGAGTACCTAGTACCTTAGAGCTCCATGAGGATTAAATGTGCTGACTGATACTAAGTGCTTACAATGGCACCTGGCATTAGTACCCAACTTCCACATAACTTCCACAACTCAAACCCAAATAATCCAGTTAGAAGTGGGCAGAAGACATCCAGATGGCCAACAGACACATGGAAAGACACTCGACCTCACTCATCAGCAGGGAAGTGCAAACCAAAGCCACAAGGAGGTATCACCTCGCACCTGTCAGAACAGCTAAAATCAAAAAGGAGACAAGTGTTGGCGAAGACGTGGAAAAAAAGGAACCCTCATGCTCTGTTGGTGGGAATGCAAGCTGGTGCAGCCACTCTGGGAAACAGTATGGAGGTTCCTCAGACAGTTCAAAATAGAGCTACTCTAGGATCCAGCAATCGCACTACTGGGTATTTACCCAAAGAATATGAAAGCGCTAACTGCTAAACATATGTGGGCCCCTATGTTTATTGTGACATTATCTACATAGCCAAGCTACGGGAATAGCCCAAGTGTCCGTCCATAGATGAATGGGTAAAAGATGCGGTGTATACAGTGGAATATATACAGCGGAACAGTACTCAGTACCAACGAGGAGGAGATGTTGCCATTTACATCAACATGAACAGAGCTAGAGAGTCTAATGCTAAGTGACAAGACCATAGGATTTCACTCATGTGAAATTTAAGAAACAAAAACAAAGGAAAACAGACACAGGAAAAACCAGACTCTTAGATGCAGTGAACTGCTGGTTGCCAGAGGGGAGGTGGGCGGCAGGACGGGTGCAAGAGGTGATGGGGGTGCAGAGTGCACTTGTCGTGATGCGCACGGGGGGGATGTAAAGAACTGTCGAATCACTATATTGTACACCGGAAACTACGTCGTACTGCACGTGAATTATACTGTGTGCACACATGGATGGCACTTGGCGAAGACTTTAAGTGCTTGGAGAAGTTTAGCCAGGATTATTAGGGTTGGTGTTATTAGTACACAACCCTTGTACACACACACAGCCACAGGGCTGGTGTTATGCCCATTTTGCAGATGGGGAAATGGGTGGCCATCGTGCAAGACGGATCTGCGCTTAGGTCCTGGACGGGCTGAGTCCAATGCCCGTTCTTGTCCTCACGATTTTCTACTTGCGGGCTCATCCACCAACTGGAAGCTAAAAAAGCTTTTTTCCCCCTTAATTTTATTTTCATCTGGAAGCCAGTCTTTCCAAGACGTGGTTTCCCCATCTGTAAACTGGATACCTGCCCTTGCCCCAGTGAGACCCCCAGGGCTGGCAAGGGGCTCAGGAAGTTCATGTGCTCTATGAACAGTAAAGGGACACATCAAGAGGGGGCTGTGACTACTTCCTGGGGCTTACAGATGGGGAAGCAGAAAGTGCACACATTTGGGCTGACGGAGAGAAGCTAGACGTTTCTATTTTGGAGAAGTTCCCTCTTCCTGCCTGTTTCATTGCCAAACACAGGAATAGATTTTAAAAAACCTACCGGCCACTGATTTTGGTGAGTTGTGTTTTAGCCAGTCAGCTCTGGGTCGGGCTGAGATAGCCAGGTCTCCGAGACACGTCCTTATGGGACAGTGTGGCATTCAGAAAACAGTTCCCGTTCACATGATGGTGGCTGTCCCCCTCAGTGGCAACCAGGGAGGCTTGGATAATCTGCATGCTCTTTTCGAATATGTGCAGTCCTGAGTGCGGTTCAAGGAGGCAGAAAGACCATACACCTGCCCTTCTTAAAGTAACCAGTGGAATTAACAACATGTCTTATAAATCTGGCCCTAGCCCACCTCTTCCTGGTGCTGGCAGGCAGGGTGGGCAGCTCCTGGACCATCTGTCCGAGAACGGAGCCCGTTCTTTCTCGAGCAGGCCCTGCCTTGTCCACCGGAGCCTCTCAGTCCCTCCACATCTGCAGAGCTGGCAGTGGGGAGCTACCCGAACCCACAAAAGGCCAGACATACAAAGTGAAAAGAGCAGCTAACAAGCATCTGAACGCGGGGAACCAAATATTGTGGCTGATGCAGAAAACCCTTATGAAAAATGAGGTTAATGTGGGAAATGCTATTACAGCATCAGCCCGTGATGCGCGCCTCTATAATTAAATTTTCCTCAATTCCACCTCATCAGATTTCTTGAGATTACCAGGGACGCATCAATAGCAAATTACTCTTGATGAATCATTTTACAAATTGCATTGCCCCCACCTTTGTGTTCCCTGTCACTGGAACATTGTTAACAGACACGCTTACTGACGGGTGGCGGGGGGAGAGGGGCGGCGGCGCTGACCCCTGGCTTATCCTGGGCAGGAGAAGGAAGAGCCTTGCCATCTTCAGAAACTCCAAGAAGAAAAAAAAAAGCTGGAAAAATCAGGACCCAGTGAATGGTCCCAGGGTTTTTTTCCCCCTGGAGTGGAGGACCGCTCCTTTGTTCTGACAGGTGTATCTGGAGCAAAGAGGAGAATGCTATTTTTATCGTCATCCTCTGCGTCTGGCTTTGGGAACTCTCAGGGATGCTAAGGATGGGAACCTCATCAGGAGGGCACTTGCTAGTGCCCAGCTAGTTTTGGAGGGGCTGTCTTTTGCCTGTTTCGCAGGGGAGAGGGGGGAGCAGACTTCCATCTCGAGAAAACATGAGGTCTGTATCTTTCCGCTTGCTCAGCACAGAAACTTAGCAGAAGTCAACAGAGTTCACGTCACACCCCCGTTCGGATTCCAGGCGCCCCTTCCCCATGGCTTTGTCCCCGTCTCCTTAGGTCACTGGCTAAATGGCACCCAGCCCAGAGCTCTTTTTACCTAATAGAGGCGGTAATGCGTTTTTGGCTTCTGGGTTTCTGATCTGTTGGATGTAGACAAACAATTTCAAATATCAAGAGACCCAGAAATCCTGTCTCTAGGAATCTATTTTATGGATGTATCTGTATGGGCACAATTTTAGATTCAAGAATCTTTGCAGTGTTCTCTGTACCACCACCACCACCACCACCACCACCACCACCAGAAGCTGTGTGTCTACTCACGGGGGAGACAGAAGGATTCTGGGTCCTTAATCCAGTGGAATATGAGGCAGCAGGTAGCTTTAGATACACAGACTCAGAAAGTCCAAAGGGCAAGTTTCATGACAAAATTATCACTCCATTTTCAAAAGCCAGCAATGTGTGACTTGTTTTGTATGTCGTTTATGCTTTAGAAACCTCCAGAAACCTCTAGAAGGATGAACAGCCAAGTGTTGGCAGCGGTTCCCGCGGGAGGTGGGGCTGAGTGGGGAGGAAGACCTTCCCAGTGATCAGGGGAAGACAAGAACACAGAAAAATGTAAGTCGATTCTTCGGATGAGAAAAGACAAAGAAGGTGGGCACCTTAGGAATCCAACATGCCTCTGCATGCCCAGCGGGAACCACCGTCCCGATTCTGTGTCGACGACTCATTTCCTCACAGCTTTCTAGACGCGAGAGTCCTGGAATCACGTACTGGGTGGCTGGGCCTGCTTCTGCACTTTTAAATGTATGCACCCTCGGTATGACTTCTGCGATACGTCCCCCTCAATGTTACGGTGTAGAGACGCATCCAGATCAGTGCACGGAGCGGAGTGGTGCTGCTGTTCCCGGCCACGCAGATCTCCGCTGTCTGGGCAGACCCCACGGTGTCTATCCACCTGAACGTGGGTGTCTGGGCTGCTCCTGGTTTGGTGCCAGTAGGAACAGTTCTGCTCTAGGTCTGCACAGGTCTGTAGGGCAGCCACAGAGGCCTGGGATTCTGTGCAGCACGGGGGTGTGCGGTGTGTGCATGGTGGTGTGAAGTGGGATCTCTTTTTGCTTTTCATCTGCATTTCTCTCATTATTCATGAGGCCGAGCATCCTTTTGTATGTGTGTGGGCCATTTATGCGCTTTTTTCTTTCTCCTTTGTAACAGGAGTTGGCAGTCCTTTTTTTTTTTTATAAAGGGCCAGATAGTATTTTTGGATCTATGGGCCATGCAATCTGCGTCACAATTACTCAGGGCTGCCACTGAAGTCCCGAGGAAACCATAAACAATATGTCAATGAATGGGTGTGGCTGTGTCCCAATAAAACTTTATTTACAAAAATAGGGAGTGGGCCAGATTTGGCCTGTGGCTTGCAGTTGGCTCTGATTTATGGGATTTCTTTATATATTTTGAAGGGATTTTACGTGTAGCAAATATTTTTTACCAGATGTAGTGTCTTTTCTCCTAGTGTAGCATGTTTTTGATGAACAGAATTTCCTATTTTAATTATTGTTTTTAAAAAAGTGAGTACGATTTGCTGAAACTCAGTATCTGCCTGGGTTTATTTCCCATCTTGTCTTAAATACGATCAGGGCTTTCTGGAAGTCCAGTGGGAAAGCAGGTAAGAATTAGATACGTAATATGCAGACAGATGACATCACCTCAGGGTACAAGTAGAAAATCAGAAGGTTCTCTATGCAAACAAGGAGAAAATACAGAGCAGACAGCACTGTTCTCCGAGGCAGCCTACATGCCCCCCATGTGAGTGGCACTGCCCACTGAGGAGGAGGACCCCAGAGACCCCCAGGATGGAATATTTCCCCGCAGAGACGATGAGAGTACTCACCTGGTTTGATGGGCTGCCTGTTTGAGAAGGTCAGAGGTGCAACAAGGAATTTGGTCTCTGCAACTGGCACCCAGTGGTGAAGAATTTTCACTGTCCAGATCCCGGGCCTCAGGGGCAAGTTCAAAGGGGGCTTGTAGTGGGTGAACTCGGCAGTGGATTCAATCAGGATGTCGTAGGTGGCTGCGATGATGTTGACGGGATCCACCCAGATGACAGTCACGGTGACGTTGGGGCCTTTCCCCCATTTCTGCATGCCTACTGGCTCGTCCATGGGCCCCAGGAGACCCCCAAAGTTACGGAAGAGCCGCTCCTTGGCATCCCACTCAGTGCCGACCTGAAACGAGAGCGAGTCCTCAAATCACTGAGCCTGAACTAGGGCACAGCGTCCCAGAGAGGCCTAAGATCCTGCTCATAGGAACGCATATACCCATTTTACAGTTGAGGAAACTGAGGATCCCAGTAGGTCACCTGCACAAGACTGCACAAGTAGTAGTAAGCAGAAGATTTGGGATTTGGACCCGGTCTGGGGGATTACAAGGCCTGTGGTCCGTTCATTAAATCCTCGGGCCTCCTGTGCCTGACACAGGGTTCATGCTTTGGAAAGAAAACACACCACATGCACTGAATGAATGAATGTCCGCTGGCAGGCCATCCCCAGGAAACTTACATCTCCCCCTCCCACCCCCCACAGCAGGTACAGCTGGTTTCCACTTCGGTGCTCAGCCTTCTAGATCAAGCACCTCCATTTCATGTGACGTTCTGAACAAGGAGGGTCCCTCAGCCCCTCCTATCAGGGCAGGAGTCCACATGGCTTTTCTAGGAAGCCCCAGCTGTGGCCTCCCTATAGCACTCAGAGCTGGTACCTCGGGGGTGGGGGGTGACTGTATGATTCATCCTTCCTGCCAGCCAGCTGGGGGGTGTGTGTCTCTGGCTGGGAGTCTGTTCTCGGCTTCCCTCCTGCTCCTGTTGCCTGCAGCGTACGGTCCAGCCAGGAGCCAGGAAGACCTTGTGAATCGTCCTCTCGCTGCTCAAATGCTCCCGTGGCTACTGTCACTGTGCTTTCCAGGTGCCTAGCACTGGGCCTGGCACACAGCAGGTGCTCGGTATCTGTGGAATCAGCGAGTGAATGACACTCCGGCTCGCCCAGGAGGCTTCGTCCAGAGTTTCTGAAGACCCAGCACGTGGGCACGCTGGTAGTGGATGACAAGCACACGCGAAGGCTCGCCCGTTCCCGTGGTCTTTACGACCAGCTTCTCCGATGAGCGTGCACAGGTCGGGGTGAGGGATGCTGGCTGTGCCGTGCCAGTGGGAGCCGGATGACTTTCTCGTTCTTGCCACGAGGCCCTGTGTCCGTTCTTGCTCCGAGACACAGAGCTCCGTGGCTCGTATTTACCCAGCGCTGAGCGCTTCGATGCACTGGCCTGCGTGACTCTCTCAGCTCCACGGAGGAGAGACCCCGTCATTATCCTCCCGTCACAGACGAAAACGCCGAGGCTCAGAGCACTTAGGTCCCTTGCTGGGGCCGGTGAGAGGCAGAGCCGGCTGTGTTCTTACCGAGTCTTCTGTGTCAGCCTCGCGTTCACTCCCTCACACGTTCATCCAACACCGACGTGCCGGATGCCTGATGCCCACCGGGGATGCACCCCCGCCCCCCCTGCTGCGTGCTCCCAGGCTCCGTCTTTAGACAACAGCCTCCAGACTGGGACCAAGGAGCCGTCCCAGCGGAGCCGAGGCACCGACTGCGGTAACGTTCCTGCAGGGGTGGCTTGGCCCTCCCAGATGGGCGGTGTCCGGGCATTTCTACCAACCCCTGGCCCAGCTCCTCCCGAGGCCCCTGGTGCCAGCACAGTGGCTGCATCAGGGCAGGAAGGATACCTGTAGCAGTTAGTGAAGAAATGCACGAGGGAGTGAGCAAGATTCCAGCAAGCCTCCGAGTCTTGAGATGTCTCTGAAGAAACCCAATCCTGTCCCTTCCCTACATGCAACCCTCTTCAGCACCTCAGGATTCTCAAGCCCGGGCTCTCACCCCATCCTGTGAGGTCTGGTCCCTTTCTGTCCTGCTTCATCTCAACCCCTCGCCCTCCCCTCCACTCACCCCTGCTCTGGGCCACCTGGATTACTCTCGGTGTGTCCACGAGGAGGGCGCGCTCTCGTCTCTGACCTTCCGTTCGTTCCTGGCCTTCTGGCTTGAATAGTCTGCCTTCGTTTCCCCTCCCTCTTGACCAGCTTCTACTCCTCAGGTGGACCTCAGCTGAGGTGTCTCCTCTACTTGGAAGCCTTCCCCGTTAAAGGCACCACCCATCTCGGGGTTTTTTGGCACGGTATTACAACTTCTAATTTATGCGTCTCTTTCCTTAGCTCAGGAGGGTCAGCTCCACGAGGAGAGGGACTGTATCTGGCTTGCTCACCAGTGTATCTCTAGAGCCTAAAGCAGTGCTGACCACGTGGTAGGTGCTCAGTCTCTCTCTTTCTTTCCTTCCTTCCATCCATGCATCCAACCTCTAGCCACGTCATGAACGATTAGGGGCTGAGCACACGGACGTCCCTATGTGCCAGGCCCTCCACACACTGGCTTTCCCACAGATACTAACAAGTGGATGAATGGTCACAGAAGGAATGGGGTCGTTCTTAAAGAAGGGCTTTGTGACCAGTTAGGGGAGGCCACTCCAAAACAGTATCCTTGGATTCCCCAAAGAAATGGGGGTGAGCAATCCTCTGAAGTCTGAGCTCTAAAACCAGGACAGCCCCGGTGGAAGATCTGTGGAGCAGCTATCAACAGAGAAGCTGGCTCTCGTTTCCAGTCCTAGGAGAGTGAGCGGAAGGCTAACTGCCACCCCCCGGTGCGAGTGGGGCTGGGGCTGCCCGAGATGGGGACCCTCCGGGGCTTCGAGATCTTCTCACGGACTCACTGTGCAAGTCCACGGCCACTTACTACACAGTGCTCACTACTCAAATTGAAGTCCTTGTTCAAGTTCACCATGTCACTCCCCAACTTCAAACCCACTAAAAGTCTCTCACTTGCATTTAAAATACAATCTGAGTTTTTTTCCTGGGCCTTCAAGCCCCCTCACGATCTGCCCCATCCACTCTGAGACCTCCCTTTTGCTGCCCTCCCTCTCACTCACTGTGCTCTGGCCACACTGGCCTTGCTGCTCCTTGAGTGTGCCCAGCTCCTTCCTGGAGCCTCAGGGCCTTTGCACATGCTCTTCTGCTTGAACTGCTCCAGACCTCCCCGTCACTGGCTCTTTTACAGCTTTCAGCTCTACTACAGTTACCTCCTTAGAAGAGCTTCCCAAATGAATCATCCCATTGAAAGTAGTCCCCATCGGCCTCTTCAGCCCTTGGCAATGACATGAATGAAGTTTTATGTTCTTTATAATACTTGCCATTAGCTGAAATGTTTTCGTTCATTTGCTCACTCATAGGCTGACTGCCCCACCTGACTAAATTCCATGGCAACAAGAACCTGGACTGTCTAGTCACCATGGCCTCTCCTGTACTAGGGCATCGTAGCCACTTGGTGACTATCTGCTGAAGGAACGAGCATCTTTTCTGCAGGCCACTAGCATGGAGCTCCCGTGGGAGGGAGAAGTCCATCTGACTGCTCAGCAACACTGGCTGTCTGCTGAGAGCCAGGCCCTGAGCGGGGAGCCCTGGGGCTGTGCCACCACGAGGGGCATCCCCTGCAGTTCTTCCTTTCCCTCCTGTCCGGCGTTTGCCTTAAAAACTATTAGGACTTCAGAAAAAAAATACAGACTACAAACTTCATGGCTCCCTGCATCACACGCTGTTACTCTGCCAGAGATCTGGGTGATTCTCACATCAAAATTACCAGCCCTACAGTAGGAACCCTCACAAATCACTAGGCACAGAGTGGCCACCCTCATCTGTCACTGCCAGAAGTGCCCCGTGACCCAACGGCTGGCTTATCCACAGGGACAGCCCAGCCGCCAGGCATCCATCTCGTTAATGGGACATTAATGTCTTCAATTGGCCACCTGGGCCCCCAGTGCAGAATCCAACTGGGGCAGTGTTTTAACTGCCCCCTGACGCTAGTAATTTATGGAGGCGGCTCCCATGGCAGCTTGGATCCAGCCAATCCATTTGGATCCTTAATTGAAAATGGTGGCCTCGCAAGAAACCCCAGTCGTAGGGCATAGCTGGGCCAGGTGGGGCCATGGGCAGCTGGGAAGGGACTGGTATGGACCGTATAAGCAGGTGGGATACTCCCCCCGCCACACCCCCCAACTCGCAGCCCTTTAAGAATACTTCAAGAATACTCCATATTCTAAAACCAGACTCTTCATCCCTAACCCAGCGGCCACACTCATGGGGAATGCGGAACTCCGGGGATTAATCACCTCCTTTATCTACTTGCAGAGATGGGGAAGGCAGAAATCGGGTGCTGGGGGTTGGTGTGGACCAGCCCTCACTAAGCTGGATCGTGTTTCCCTTCCTGCAGTGTGCCCCTGCCCCCAAGTGTGTGCACTCCATTCAGAAATCATATTCGGCATCTCCAGATGCCACGTGCAGGGAATGCAGCAGTGAGCAAGAGGGACATGGTCCCAGCTTTCTTGGGGACAGTCGACAAGTGATTAGAGAAATCAACAAGATGATTTTGAATGGTAAATGCTATAAAAACAATAAAATAGGTACGTGTCAAGTGGAGAATGGAGCTCTTGTGCACATGGGTGGGCAGGGAGGGCTTCTCAGAGGGTACACCATTTAGATTTAGATCAGAATGGCCAAAAAAAAAAAAAAAAGGTAGCCCTGTGGAAATGTGAGGGAAAGTATTTTAGGCAGCAGGAACGGCACCTGCCAAAAGGCCAGACCAGGTATGCAGGTAGGGCTAATGTGACAAGGGTGGTGCTGGGCAAAAAAATAACTAAAATTGCATCCCACGGATCCATGCACCCATCCGTCTGTCTATCCGCTGGCCCACCTGCCCGACCATCCATCCATCCATCCATCCACTCATTCATCCAATGACTGATCTGAATAAACCCCGTCACTAGGAACTGGGGAGACAGAAACACCACGAAGCATGAGATTTGTGGCCACAGAGACCCGGGCTTAATTTGAGCTCTTCCACTTCCTAGCTATGATCCAGAAAAATCCCTGGCCCTCCACAGGCCTCAGCTCTCCAATCTGTAAAAGGGGACTAAGGCCATTACTTCACTAGGAAACTGGTCTGTCACGGTCTATGATCAGTAGAGGTCAGGAATCACTGGCTGGGATGAAAATTGAAGAGGAATACAGAGTCTACTGTAAAAAACAGACCATGGCTCCAGGTCGGTTCGGCCCGCTGCTCCCGGCTGCCCTCCGTCTCTCTCCCCCGAGCCCTGTTTAAGATGCCAGTTCCCATGTTCGGGGCTGGAGGAGCCTCTCTAGGCACAGGTGTGCTATCTTTGGGGCTCCCCAAGTCCCCTTCCCCCCATCTCCGTCGCCAAACATCAGACTGGCCAACAGAACCCAGCAAAGCAGCTGGAAAGGACCATGAAAGCGTGGCCTCCCACCTCGGAAAACTGGAGCCTCCCGAAGTCACTGGGTGGGCTTGCGATCTTGAAGACCTTCTTTGGCATCACCCACGTCTCCAGGGTCTCCAGTTTGCTCACGGCCAGATTGGTGGCGTGATGCTTGATCAGAAAGCCCTGGAAGCGGTCCGCAAGGAAGTAGAGGTGGACAGATGCCGGGTGGCCCATCGGGTAGTACCTGGAACACACACACAGTCTCATGTGAGTTCAGGGGGCGGGGCCCGAGGCGCTCAGGGCACAACACAGCGCGCTGCCCCGTCCCCACAACAGGCCCCGTTTTATCCAGCGCTGACCACAGGCCCTTTGCACCATCCCCGAAAGCTGCTCCCCGTGCATCTCAGATCCCAGTCACCCCCAATGACTTCCTGGCTGATTATCAATGTAAAACCTGCTGACTGTACAAAAGCACAATGAGGAAAATAAAAATTATTACTTCTGATGCTGCTTCCCATAGAGGATGTCAAATCACAGATATTTATTGATCCTCCTGTGCCAGGTACTAGGAAGGGCCAACGGTGGGCCAACGATGCCATAGTGATGGATTTCCTCTCAGCCTGATTTTCTATGCATATATTTGCATAAATCTTACATGCCTGGGATAACATACATCCTAGTTATATCCTGCTTTTTGCTTCATAGTATTTCCTGAGCATTATCACATGCCTTTGAAATGTCTCTGAAAACATGATTTTTGTGTGTGGGCACACACACTACTCCACAGTGTGCAATGCCATATTTCATAGAGCAAGGCGAGTCATGCGGGTTCTGAGCCATGGCCTCCAGAAGCCTTGCCCGTTTCTAATTGCCTTTCTGGCTCTTTTGTGACCACCGAGAGAGCATGTGTGAGTTAGCCCGCTGGAGGACAAGCCACCCCAGTTGTCCCATCCGAAGCCATCCTAGATGCGGTGACGATTCTCAGCCAAGAATGCAGAGGACCCCCGCCCCCGACCTGCAGCTGGCTGCAGATGCAGTGGAGACCAGATGCTGCTCAGCTGACCCACCAACTTGGGCGCTGTGTCGACGCTTATCGAAAACTCTGATTCACGGCTCGTTACACAGCATCGTTGCGGTAAGATACCCTTGTCGCTGTTTGTTCTGTAAGGTGGGTGGTGTCAGTGCAGGTGGACGAAAAGCAGGAGAGCTTGTCATGGGAGTCAAAACAAGAAAGCAGTTCCGGAAGGGAGCGGTCAGTTGTATTGGGTGATGCTAAGGGGTCAAGTAAATGCCACAGATGCATCCACTTGGCCCAAAGGTGTCTTTCTTACTTAATTAATGTGGGCACTGAAAAAATCAGATTCACAGAAAAATCTGGATTTCTAATTTCTCTTGAAAAATCAGGAGACGTGTTGGCAACCTCAAGTCTATTAATTCCCTCAGGGCAAGAATGTGCTGGGGCTCAGAACGAGGGCCCGTGGGGGCTCCAGATTGGTGAGGTCAGCCCACCCTACAGGGGTGAGCAACACCACCTGCCACCCGCCTGTTCCCGGACAGCATTTGAGTTTGAGTACCTGTATTAAAATACTGACAGCCTTATCTCTGGGTGGTGGCTCAAAAGCCAACTTGGTTTGTTTTTTTTTTTTTGGTTCTCTCAGTCTGCCATTTCAAAAATTTCTGCACTGAACATGTGTTATTTTATAATGAGAAAAAAATCAATAGACATTATTTCTACGAAAGGTTATACTATAGACTGGAAAGACAATTTGCATGAAATGCCCAGAGGAAATGAGGCTCCTGAAATAAAGTTTTCACTTGCTATTTCCCCAGACACCCCAGGGGCAGGAATTCACTCTCTTTTGCCTTTTGGGATAAGGGTCCTTTATCCTGATTTATTCGCAGAAGCATATCCATAAATGTATCCAACTTTGCCCACAGCAAGGCACAATGGTTCTATTATAATAAAAAATGAAGTGGAAGCCAAAGGATTCCAGGCCCCAGGCAAGTTGATGGCTTGTTTAATCCCAAAACAAATACCAGGAGAAAATCTCAACAATCCTAAATGAATTGGGGGTGTCTTTTGCAATTTCCTCTGTATGGTCATTTGCCTTATAAATTCCGCGAAGTCTGGTACTACAACTATTCTTGAACAACATTCACCTCCAAAGTGTCGGGCACTGCGTTACCTACAGCAATGTGCACAGTGGCTCTGTGGGCAGAGATTCTGTCCCAGACTAGCAGGAAGGGAAAGACACTCGTGGATGACCTTGACCCCTGGCACCGCAGCTACCCACCATGAGAGTGCTGGAGGGAAGTCTGAGCTACTTCCAGCTTGGGAGGGGGAGCCCCTGAGAAGCTTCGCAGAGGATGTGGTACTGGAGCTGACCTTCAAAGACTGGGGAAGGGAACGTGCCGAGCAAAGGGAACCCCGGACAGTCAAGGAGCAGTTCATACCACCAGTTAGGGAGCGTGCAGCTCCCACACCCAGCTCCCTGTTGACTGCTTGTGGCAGCTTCATGGTAACAGCAAGCAACTGAGACATCCACAGTGACATGCGCACTTAGCATGTAGAACACTGTTAAAACAGGGCTAATAATAACAGTAATACATAACTCATAAGGCAGTGTTTGACGATGGTCTCCGTTAAAACTCCCACCAGCTTATGCTACGAGGCTTATCATTCGTGCACCCATCTTACAGGTGAGGGAACTGAGGTACAGAGAAGTTAATGGCTTGTCCAAGGTCAACAGGTAGTAAGTACAGTCCCGGGCTCCTAACCCACGCTGGTCTCCCTTCAAACCAGACTAGAACTTGCCGAGAGAGGAGAGAGGTCTGAGGCCAGGAGAAGCGAATGAATGGAGGCCGGCTTGCTGCAGCCCTGTAGCCTAGCTGGCTATGTGTCAGACACCAGGAGGACACTCTGCCACGTTTTCAGGCTCTTAGGGAACAGAATGGTTCCTCTTCCCTTCTCCTTCTTCCGCTCTCCAGAAGAGGGAAGAGCAGGGCAAGGAGGGACACCAGGGGAGGCCTCAGTGTAGACAGTTTGTGGTTCAAAGAAAAGGGAGGTGGGATGAAGAGGAGAACGGAAAACCAGAAAGAGAAGGAGAGTGATTAGAGGCACTTCCTGGGAATCCATCCCAAGACAATCATCAGAAAAGGGACGGGGGAAAAAAAAAAAGGCTTTTGCACAAAGACAGTCATCAGAACGTTATTTACAGTGGTCCATTACTGACAATGCAACAGGAAAGGACTGGATTAGGCAAACTCGGGAATTTCTACTCAGTGGAATCCTTGAGGGCATTAAAGAAGATCATTATCATCAGGGAAGCTGCAGAACAGCATGGGGAAAAGGGGCTAATATTATAATGCCAAATGAAAAAATAGGATTCCAAATTCTTATTGCAGTTATGTAAATATCTGCAATGCATGTTGCTGGTTGGCTTAGGGAAGGCGGGTGCGGGGGGAGGTTTGTGGTGAATTGCTCTCCTACTTTCCCCTCTTCTTTCCATATATTCTAGAACACTCTTTCTTGGAAGTGTCAACTGGTACCTGTTACTGGGGGGCTGAGATGATTCTAAGGGATCCCTGAACGTCTTAAATAATAGGTCTGCATTTTAACGATGTTTTCGGTGATATTTTTAGGTGTGCCAACCATAGTATGGTTGTGTTTTAAAAAAGGGCCTTTATTTTTCAGAGATACCTATTAAAATACTCATGGCTCAGATGAGAGTCTGGGCTTTGCTTCAAACTGATCCGGGAGGAGGGGTAAGTGGGCAAAAGCCAAGAGGAAATTGCCTTGGCCCGGAGCTAGAAATCGCTAGAACTGGGTGATGGGGGGGTATGGCGTTGTACTCTACTATTTCGTACATACTTGACATCTTCTGTAAGAAGAATTAAACAAACAAAAGTACGTATTTTCATGGTTCCCTTCCGTCTAAGGCAAACACGCCTATTTAATGTGGAGACATAAAAGCTTCCTTCTAAGATACACAGACTTCGCATGAAGAGCGGGTGCCCTGCCAGGACATAATTAGGTAAAGAGAAAACGTGGTGCTCTGTAAAAACAGTTGTGGGACCGTGGCTTAGAGCAGACGAGCTCGGGCCATGGGGATGGTTCGGCTGCTTTTTAGGTCAGGGGAGACGGGGAGAAGCACGCGGCCACCACGTGGTACCCTCCTTCCAGTGCTGTGCATCCCTCCCCGCCCTCCCCCTGCCCGCCCGCCCGCCCGCCCCCGGGCTCACCGGCAGCTATTCTCCCCCTCCACGTGCAGCGACGACTCCGCCCGACGGAGGCCCTGGCGGGCGAAGGAGTGATACAAGGTGAGCGCCACGTCGCTCAGGCTTTGGGTGCCGTCCGGCTCGTCGTACACGTTCTCCCAGTAGGAGCGGAGGCCCGGGGTGCCCGCAGGGTAGTTCCCGTACAGGTAGTAGTCCAGCTGCCCGATGATTTCCTGATTCACCACGGCTTCGAATTTTCGGGCAAAGAAGGTGGGCCTGGCAGTCTGCTGTGCTCCGGGGCGGGCGAGGGGGGCGGTTGGGTTGGAGAGAATAAAAAGAGCAGTGTCAGCAAGCGGGGTGGGGGTTTTAGGAGCAGGGCTCTGCGGCCAGCCTGTCTGGATCCCGATCCCAGCTCTGACACTTACTAGTCTCTATCCTCAATTTCCTCATCTGTAACATGGAGATAAGGAGAAGCGTGTCAGGAATGAATGAGTTAATGTTTGCAGAACATTTAAAGCAATGATGGGCACACAGTCAGCATCATTTAAATGTCCGTTACATAAATGACATCCTGGATGTTTTACAGCGGAGATGGATCTCAGAAATCATTTAAGCTGGAGGTCTGGGGCAAAAACAGCCTGCAGATATATTTTAGTTGTCCAGCAGAGTGTTTTAAAATTGCATTAGCTGGCAAACAGTTAAAAGGTACCAGAGTTCACAGAAACAACTTTTGGCTTCCCTTTAAGCAGAAATAGACCTGGCAACCCCAGGCCCATGTTCCCAGAAGGGAACGACCAGCTAACGCTGAAGGGCAGCTCTCCCTGTAGATGTGCACGGACGCTTCCGCTCACCTCAGTCCCCACCACTCCCTGTTGCCTCCTGGGCCTTGCCGGTGATTTACAGACTCACAAGGAACAGCCCAGAGGTACTGGTCAGAGTCTCTGCGAGGGGGCCTTAGGAATCTACATTCTTAACAAGTTTTTGAGGGGATTCGTTTGGTGAGGTTTGAAGAGAATGTGACACCGGAACCGGGGCTGCACACCACTGCCAACTGAATAGCTTTAAAAAAGTCCAGATTCTGGGGGCGCCTGGGTGGCTCAGTCCGTTAAGCGTCCGACTCTTGATTTCCGCTCAGGTCATGATCTCAGGGTTGTGAGATCGAGCCCTCTGTTGGGCTCTGCACTGCACATGGAGCCTGCTTAAGAGTCTCTCTCTCCTTCTCCCTCTGGCCCCTCCCCCACTTCCCTCTCTTAAAAAAAAAAAAAAAAAATTCAGTTTCTGGAGTCCTTCCCCAGACCTACAGTGTCAACATCTCTGGGGATGAGGTTTAGGAATCTGTAACCAAAAAAGTTTCCCAGGTGATCATGAAGACCACTTATGTAAACCAAGTTTTCAAGGAAACAGAGGCCCAGAGAGGGAAAGAAAGGGACTTATCTAAAGTTACACAGCAAGATAATGGCAAAGCCAGGATTAAGATCCCGGGTTGAGGATAAAGAAATAAAACACAGGCCGCCCTGTTATCTACCTGCTCTTACCCTCATGCCTGGGTGGGGACTCACAAAGGGCCATGTAATAATTATTTCCAGCTTTGCAGCTACTCAGCTCTGCTGGTGTCCAGTGAAGCAGCCACATAGTAAACGCAGCCGTGGCCAATGAATGGGTGTGGCTGTTTTCCAAAAACCTTTACTTCCAAAAGCAGGATTTGGCCCAGGGGCTGTAGTTTGCTGACCCCGGTCTAGGGCTATGGGAACAATGAAAGCACAGCCCCTCCCTTGAGAAGCTTAGGGTCTAGTGCTATTAGGGACCTTAAACTGGGTCTGGTACTGTTTTCAGTGCAGTGGACTAATAACAGTACTAAGGACAATAAAAACCACTGAGCACACACTCTCTGCAGAGCACTGCGTTCATGTCACCACCTCGAATTCTTCCATCAACTCTGCAAAGCAGGCATGATGACCCCCATTTTACGTATAAGGAAGCTGAGCTCAGAAAGGGGAAGTGATGTATACAGACTCACACATCCGCTGGATTCGAACCCAGATCTGAGGACTCAAGCCCAATCTCTTTCTACTGCATCATCCTAGGATTGAGCTGCTAACTGAGCAAACAAACATCCTTGGTATTATTCTGAACATCCCCTTGCTTCCCTGCTTTAGGAACTCTGTGGTGGTCTGTGGATAATGTTTAATAATATTCTGGCCCTCTGTGTGGTGGAGGGTCAGTTCAGTTCCCTTACAGTAGCACTGAAAAGAGACCACTTGGGTTCAAATCCTTACTCTGCTACTTTCCAGCTATATAGGTCTTTGGGGGAAATCACCCAGGGCCTCAGCTTCTTCATCCTTGAAATGGGTATAATCCTAGCAATACTTGGCATAGAGTCTGGCACACAGGGTCATCTGCTATTATGATCTATTGTCACTACCCCCTAAAGCCTGTGACAAGAAGCTTCTAGATCTTCATGTTCTGGGGGCAAGAGAGTGGACTCAGGGGCCGGGCAGCCTCCGGTCTCTGCTTGTGATTCTCCATTCCCAGCTGGATCTTCTAAAAGGGCACGTTTCTAGATTTACCACTCTTCTTCGAACAAGAACTCTGAGTTCCTTACAGGCAGCAGTTTCTTGAGTCTAGATGTTGGGGGATATTCTGGATCTTTGTTTACTGTGAAAGAAACAGCTGTGAGCAAGTGCGAGGTCTCCGTGTTGGCCTGTCTTTACCAGAGACCACTATGTCCCGGGAGACTGGGGGGCTGGAACGCTGAAGCCTGCTCCACCCAAGAGCAGCAGGGCTGCTTGCTCTCAACGATGACGGTCCTTTGCCTCGAGGGCAACAATTGGTCCTCTACAAAAGTGGGGATCTTTTTTTTTTTCCCTTTTGAATAGGTCAAATGCTAAACCCCCCCCCCCTGCCATCCTCTTTCTGCTCAGTGGATCCTTTCTGCGTGGACAAAGGCGTTAAATGTCACCCAAGTTCATACCTAAATTAACATGGGTTTGAGGAGGTCCCTAGGTAGCTCTTAATTTGCCACCAAAAACAGGCCTAAAGAAATACTTATTGCAGCAACAGCTGACCTGGGTGCAGGATGTCAGGTGGGCACCTGGAAGGACCCCGAATAACGAGATGACACCTGCTGTGTGCTCTGCACCCACGTAGGCACAAAACCAGGGTGGTCTAGTGGAAAAAGCCCAGGTCTGTAACTGGAAGCACCTGGGAGGGACCCCCAGGCCTACCACTCCACTGTGTGTGTGTGTCCACGGACAAGAAAGTTTGCCCCTCTGTGCCTCAGTTTCCCCACCTGCACAACAGGGATGATGCCTACCCCAGGGAAGCCAACATGCACAGAGGGCCTGGCACAGAGCTAGGGACAGAACGGATCCCTACCCCTGAGCTTCTCAAACATAAGGAGCCTCCCAGTCACCCGGAGAATCTTATTTATATGCGGATTCTGACCTGGCACGTGTGGGGCAGCGGCAGAGATTCTGTACTTCTTACAAGCTCCCTGGCAAGGCTGATGGGGATGGTCTGGGGACCATATGCCAAGGAGAGGAGCCAGGCTCAGAGACCGGAAGCTCCACTTGCGCCCTCCCCTGGGCGGTTTTGTTACGTGCCCCAGTGAGTCGGCGGGGGCACCTTAGCCTGGGTTACCGACCGGCACTGTGGCTCCCGCCCGCCCTCTGGGCTCGTGCTTGGGGAAGAAGCATACTGTCTCCAGGTGGTGGCTCTCGTGACCTCAGAGCCATGGGCTTAGCCATTCTGGGGCATTCTGTCTGTGCTCTCGGGAGCAGGGGCGAGGGCACGGTGGAGGGGGAGAGGAGAAAGAGCCTCAGGGTGCTGGCCTAGAGGGAGCAGGAGGGGCACTCACACGGGATGGAAAGAGGCTGCCATCCTGAACAGGTCCGGGGGCCAAGGCATTCTTGGGGCTCACAGAAGCAGGTGGAGCACTGACCACCCCTTGCCCGCTGCTCTCCCCAGAACCGTAAATGGCCAGGCCGTGCAGAGATACTGTGACAGCACCAACGCGTCTACCCCCTCTTCCTCCTTTAGGTCCTCAGAGCACGGTGTTTTCCAAACCTGGCTGCCCATCAGAATTTTCCAGAGTCTAACAGGTTAAAATAAAAATTCGCGGACCTCACCAGACACCAGCAGTTCTTAACTGGGGGTGAGTTTGCCCCCAGAGGACATCTGGCGATGTCTACAGCCATTTCTGGTCATCACAACCGGAGCTTGCTCCTAGATGGAGTGGCCAAAACCCAGGGGTGCTGCCGAACATGCAGCAAGGTGCGGGACGGTGCCCCCCGCAGCAGAGACCGACCCAGACGCCATGTTAAGAGGACTGAGGTGGAGAAACCCTGCCCTGGGCACATTCAACTTTGTACCCAGAAATACATTCTTAAGCCACATTTCGGGGGACTGACTGAAAGAGAAATGGACGTGGAAACATACACTGGCCTGTGTGACCTCAAGTTTTTTGACTTTTCTGTGCCTCAGTTTCTCCGTCTCTAAAACAGAATAACAATAACTCTCTCTCTAGATACCCATCTAAGGTTCATGAGTCAATACAGGCAAAATGGTCAGAACTGCTCTGGCGCGGGGGAAGTGGCCGATGAATGGTGGCCTCTGCTCATGCTGTCACCGTTACTACCGCCAGCCGGGGCTGGTCGCCGCAGGACAAGACGCCACATGGGCCCGGCTGGCGGGCTCACCTGGAAGCGGTGGAAATCCTGTGGCTTGAAGTCATTGGGCGAGCAGCCGCACCAGTCCACGATGTGCTTGTACTGGCACTTGCAGCCCAGCTTCCGGTTCCAGTTGGTGATGCGCAGGTTGTTGTCCACCATGGTGTCGCAGTGGGGGCTGTTCTCCAGGACCGTGTGGAAGAAGGACTGCAGGGGAGAGAGGGAAGGGACTGGCCTGAATCCTCCTCCAGCTTCCCTCCCCAGCACCACATGACTGTGCAGGGACTCCCTAGGGAGGCTCCTCGGTCGTCTCTGCCAAGGGGGGGGGGGGGGTCAGCCGCCAGTCTGGTGTGACTCAGGGCACACGGGATGTTTTGTCCAGAGGGGCTGAATTCCGCTTGCAAGGCTAACGCTCTGGGTGTTTCTCTAAATTGTCTTTCCCGACGATCTACAATCTGATTTCGAGGTGTTGCCTATCATTCAGGACATCTTCTGTCTGCCTGGCAGAGAGGAAAAGTCCCTCCAGTCATGTCCACACATGGGAACCAAAGGAAACACGGTGACAGTTATCCAGGAAACCTTGAGCGAAAAAGGCTCATGCTTTGCAAACGGCCAGGTCTGCAACCAAAGGGATTCTAGTCTGAGATATCTCGAGAACAAAGACTGATGCTCTGGAATTTCACCCCTGGGTAAGGGAAGCCAGGTTCGAGGGTGTATCAGTCCCAGGGCTGGAAGGCGTCCCAGGTACCCCTCCTGCTTTAGCCACCGACGGGAGCTGGAGTGCAGCACAGGGAAGGGCGGGCCACGGCTGCTTGCTGTCCGTGGTGCTGAACCAGGCTCTGTTGGTCTCTGCTAATCCTAAGACTCTTGGCCTCTCTCTCCTAAGAATCTGAGAAAGAAGCAATGCTGAGAGTAGAGAGAGAGAGAGAGAGACCAGAGAGGAGAGAAATGGTTATAGCCTCTGAAAGACCGTGAGAGAGAAAGAGGGAGGGAGAGAGAGAGAGAGAGGCAGACTTCTATTTGGATGCTGTTTTATAACAACCCCAGATACAAGGCAGTAACTTCTCCCCTGCCCTCTGCTCCCTAGGGGAAGCTGTTGGGGGATAGGAGTCTGCCTGTAATAAATTTATGGCTCAGTCTTTAGATTTATTCTAAAGTGGTTTTCTGGTGGTGGTATGGGAGAAGAAAGGGCAAGGCAGGGACGCTGGAGTGTAAAGTGCTTGTGTGTGCTGGGACAGGGTTGTGACAGACAAAGCCAGCATCAGGATGGGCATCTTGATTAAAACCACCAGAGCTGCACACAGTCTCTTCTCAATGGGTGGATGGGCAAAACAAGGTTCCACCCCCCACCCCCAGCTTTCCTTCCTGTGCTGCTCAATGACATATACCCGTGAACCTGGATTTTAAGCTTGAATTGTCTACAAGCCCACAGAGGCACATATTCTCCATCAAGCGGTGGGGAAAAGTTCCCAATTACCAATTGCCCTGTGTCCTTTCATAACGATACAGAAATTCCCCGCAAGATAATGGATGAGGAGGTTATCGGCACTGAGAGAAAAGGTGATTTGCAGTGAAATAGGATTAAAAACGGATTACTGAATGTGTGTGCAGAATAGTAAAACCGGGCCCAGTGATAACAAGCCCATCATCCCTCTGGAGTGACGTGAGGGGTCGGCCCTACCAGCCTGGCGCTGCCCCAGATGTTGGTGAGGGATGTGGGAACCATCAAATGAGGTATGTTGTCTCGTCTGGCCTAGAAACACAGCCTGAGCCTGGGGCACCGCCAGGAAGAAATGGTAGGAGACCACTCACGGGAGGTGTCAGGGGCTCAAGAGAAGTGGAACCAGCTCTGGAGTTTTCTGAAGTCAGAAACTGGGATGGAAGTCAACGGGAGGTCGGTGCAGGTCTGAGAAGGCTGCTGGCCTGTCAGTGGCAACATCGCAGAACTGGGTCCCCACCCACCTCCAGATGGAGCGGGGGACAGTTCCAGAACGCTCTGCAACCTTACGCAACCAGGCTTCTGCAATGGAGTGCACGTTTCTGTCTCCTTCCAAATTCAGAGGTTGAAATCCCAGCCCCACAATGTGACGGTGTTAGGAAGTGAGGGCCTTTGGGAGGTGATTAGACTAGGAGGGTGGAAACCTCATGAATGGGGTTCATGCCCTGACAAAAGGGGCCCCAGAGAGCTCCCTCATCCCTTGTGGCATATGAACGGTCAGTATGCAGTCTGCAGCCCGGAACTGGGCCCTCTCTGGAACTCGACCATCCTGGCACCCGGACCTGAGACTTGCAGCCTTCAGAATGGTGGGAAGTAAATTTTTGTTGTGTATAAGCCGCCTACTCTGTTGTACCTCGTTGCAGCAGTCTGAACTAAGATACCTTTCCTGCACTGAAGTCTGAAAACTGGTGACAGGCTCCCTGGAGCTTTTCAAATGCTTCTAAAAGTCATCAGGAAATGCTGAGTCCCAAAGGCTGTCAGTACGGGGGATAGCGCAGGTCCAGCAGAAGCCCTGGCTCTCTGTCTCTGGAATCATTGGAATTTCCATTTGTGAATGATGAGGCCAACACTACTGTCTGTCAGGGAATGATAGACAAATATTAAAAAATTAGAAAAGGTATTCTTCATGTTGAAAAAGTGGGTATTACAGGATTGGTGACCATGGAGGATCTGTCAAAAGTTGATGTGGGTGTGTCCTGAAAAAGCCAACATACACAGTTGCACAGGCTGCACACTGCACAACCCTAATGGGGCAACATCAACATGGTAGGTATGAGAGATTTCTATTTTTTTGTTTTTAACAAACATTTTCTGGAAAGTGGCAGTGAAGTGTCTTGTTCTAACAAGATCAGTATATCAGGATGATTTTTATGACCAATGGGAGCCAAGTGTCTTGAGGAAGGACTTTTTCTACTTTGCACAAAGATGCCGTGTGGACTGCTGCTGGCAGTCGTGTGTCTGTCTGCCATTACACCCTCCATGCAGACCAGAGCAGGGCCGGGGGCCTGCTATGACAGCAAGGACCCGGTGGCCGATGCAGTTCTCCACCTTCATCTGGATGTTTGCAGGACTACGTATTGGATCCAGCATCGCTTTGCCAAACCTTCAGCAAAAATTCAGCTTCTGTGTTGCTCCAAAGGCTAGAGCCAGCTCCTAACCTGCTCAGGGACTTTTTTCCTACACACTCACCTCAGCAGGAAGCAGGGTGTAGGAGTAAAACTGCTTCATCTTGGTCACTAGATCATCTGTGGAGAACGTCACATACTCCACAAACTTCCGGTTCAGCAGGAACCAATCCGAGCCTCCATCCACCGCAATGCCCTCCGGGATTCGCCGGTCCCCCAGGCGCCACATGTGGGCGTCACACTCCAGGAAGAGCCGGTCCAGACCCTGCTTTCGGATGAACCTGGGAAAGACAAAGTCACGCTTCAGCCCAAAGGGGGACGGAATCCAAATGAAATAGCACAATCATGGCAATAAAAGCATGTACTGGGCACTTACTGTATGCCAGGGATCGAGCCGGGGAGGGGCTGTGTGTGTAGTTTGTCACTTGATCTTCAGAAGTGAGGCAGGTCACTATATCCCTATGAAACAGGCATTGCCATTATGCCCATTTTACAGCTGAGGACCCTGAAGCTTAGAGTGTTTAGGGGGATTTGCCCGGCACTAGAACAGTGCAATGATCATCTTCTTCCTTTGCAGAACTTTTGGAAATCACCTTTTCATGCCGTGAATGCCTTGGCAGTTGGGTGAATACAGCCTCTGGATGCTCGTCTCAGAATCATGCTCTTAAAGGCACACCTCAAAATATGTAGGATTACAAAGTATTTTTTAACAACCCCAAATTTACAATCTGATAATCTGTGTGCTTTTGGATTCACGCATTAAATACAGGATCACAAAAGATTTTTTAAAAACACCGAATTCATGATAATCATGTGTTTTTTTTTTTTTTTTTTTTTAACCACGAGATAACATGATCTTGCGGCAGGTCTAATAACTACTGTAATTGTGCAGAAGAGGTGAACGTAAATGATACTTAGAGGTATATGCACAACCAGAATGTGATATGAAAATCTGTGATTCCTAACAGTTACTGCTAAAACTGTTGTGGTGTGTTACCTCTATTTAGCTGGATTTTAATGAGAGTTTAGTGGGAACAAAGATAATTTTCTGCCCAGCCCAAATTATGGAACCCTTGAATTGTCTCCATGAACCCCAGATTAGTAACTCCTGCGTTAGTGTGTGTGTGTGTGTGTGTGTGTGTGTGTTTGGGATTTGCAAGGCAGGCTGAGCAGAATTGGCAGCTCCTAATTTGTAGATGCAGAAATCAAAGATCAAAGGGCTGCTAAAACAGACGTGCTGGGAGGGTGGGTAGAAGTAGAACCAAGCCTTCTGGCCCGAACCGTCAGTTCCTTTGCAGGATGAACTTCACACACACTGTGTGCCAGGCAGTGTGCTGGCCTGGTGTGGGGCAGGAAGGAGCAGAAGGAAGGATGCTCCTGCCCCTCAGGAGCTAGTTCTCTCTCTGGGAGCCTGCAGTCTAGCCATCTCCTGATCCAGGGATCTTGCTGCTTCTCCAGCTCATACAACACAAGATCAACCATTTTAAAGTGCACAATTCAATGGTATTTGTACGTTCATGATGCTGCGCAGTTGCCGCCTATGTAGTTCCAGAATATTTAAGCACCCTCCCCCAAAGGAGACCCTGTACCCGGGAGCAGTCACTCGCTCCGTCCCTCTGCCCCTGGCCTCTGGCAACCGCCAATGTGCTTTCTGCACCTGTGGATTTTACTTATTCTGGACATTTCATAGATTCAATCAGACAATATGTGGCCTGTTTGTATTTGGCTTCCTCCACCCAGCATGTTTTCAAGGCTTCATCCCGTGTTCTTGACTACCCAGCATCCACTCAGTTTTCTGGGACCACACCTTGATTGTTCCTTGGACAGTCACCTATCTTCAGTCTCAGCTGACTTGGATTCGTGCCCTACACCCAGCACCAGGGGTGGTAACATGACCAGGCTGGTCATGAGAGTGTTCCATCTGCCCGGCTGGATAACTGGTTCAGGGATGGGTGAGTAACTCAAGGTAAGTCTGAGATCGGGCCCTGGATTTTTGCTGCATCTACCAGGAAGGAGGCTCTTCTATGGCGTTTCTGCGGAGAGAATGTCAGCCTAGAGCTGCTAGCGGCCATCCTGTTCCCCTGAGTATAGAAGCTGTTTGATAGTGGAGGTAACACAGAAGGGAGAGGGACAGAGAGGGGGAAATGGAGAGAGAGCAAAAGAGTGAGGGAGACAGGGAGGGAAAGGAGCAGAAGGAAGGGGGGGGTTAGGTCTCAGCGACTTAGCTTGAGATCCTGGAGCCCACCCCGCGTGACTCACCACCAGGCTCATCAGTAATGTGCTTAAGGCATTTGGAGATGAGATTCTATCACTTGCAGTTGAGAAAATCCTAATACATTCCTCAACAATTTAAACTTTTATCCCTACCAGGATGGAGGTGAATGTTCTCAGGCCCCGGACAGAGCAGGTAACCACGGCTGTGGCATGTAAATACCCCTCTTCCACTAAGCCAGTCCACCTCCCTCGTCCTGCGTCTACAGGTCTTTGTACCTCCATTACAGATGTCATCACTGGCTTCAGATTCGAGTTACCGGTCTCCCCCCAGGTAGACGTGGCTCTCATTAGAACTAACCTCGGATTCCTCCTTTCCGCTTTCCTCCCAGTTCCTAGGACAGCGCAAGGCAGTGATTCAGGAAGGGTCTATTTTTTTTTTTCTTTTTCAAAGACCTTATTTATTTGAGAGAGAGAGCAAGCGGGGGAAGGAGCAAAGGGAGAGAGAGGGAGAGAGAGAATCCCAAGCAGACTCCATGCTGAGCGTGGAGACCGACGTGGGGCCTGATCTCATGACCTTGAGATCATGGCCTGAGGAGAAATTAAGAGTTGGACACTTAACCAACTGAGCCACCCAGGCGCCCCTCAGGAAAGGCCTATTGTGATGGCCACACTGCAGGGTACAAAAGCTGGAGTCAGCTTCACTGTGCTGGACATGCTGAATTGTACAGAGACTCCCTCTCGCTGGGCCTCCCCCAATCCACTAACATCCACTGGAGGGAAGCGCGTGAAACCTCGCTAATAAATCCATAACCCCAGTACTTTTTTCTGCATTTAAGTGGGGGACCTGCCCCTATACACTGGTCACCCTTTGAGCATGATGATGTAATACACTGAGTTCTTAACAGAAATGATGAGGGTCATCAAAACAATGACGACGGTGAACAGGCTGAGTTCTGCTGAAAAGCGCTTTTCATCTACACTGTGGTTCGGCTCCACCAGTAACCAGCTGAGTTGACTTTGGGAAGTGATGTCCTTGAGTACTGGCTTCCCCCTTGGTAAAATGATAAAGTTGGGCTAGGTCTGGATCGCAACCTCAGATGCCTACAGGGGTCAGACCGATAATGGAAGTGTGGGAAGCAGGCTGGGTATAAGACAATAGGGTAGGTGGAGTTAGCAAAGAAGGAGAGAAAGCATTTTTTTGAAAAACACTCAAACTCCTTAAAAAAAAAAAAAAAAGGTATTTCTGGCTACATAAAACAGATCCCTGCCTGACCCCAGCTCATGGGCCACCAGCCATGATAACCATGGGTTAAGGTAACTGTCTGGCGTTTTCCAGTTGTGACACTCTCTAAGTCACTCTGTTCTACCCAGGAAGAGAGTGTGGGGCAGGAATTCCAGCTGCATACATGGGATCCCAGAGAAGGCTGATGACTCTTCCGAGGATACACAGAGGACACAAGCCAACCAGAAGGCCCAGATATTCCAAGACCCTAGGTCTTGTTCTTTCCCTAACACAAGGTTTCCAAGGGTAAAATCCAAGCTGTTCACAAAGCCATGTTCTCTCTGGGAGTGACTTGTTGAAGGTTTTTCAGTATACTTCCTGTACCATTCCACGGACACAAAACTGAGCTCTAAAACCCGTCCATTAAAGGAAGCCCCTGAGTTTAGGAAAAGAAAATCCTACCTCAGCTCTGGCTGGTGCTAATTATATAATAATATCCAATCACAGACACTTAACCATGCTTAAGACTTTAAATTTTAGCTAACTTACAGCAGAACTTACATGGTAACCAAGACTAACCCAGAGAAAGAAAAGAAATACAGGTGTGAGGACATGCAAAAGTTTTCTTTCCACATTTCGTGTTCCATTATGGGAGAATAGCATCCTCTTGCAATTTTAATGTGACGTCCCAGACCATAATATCCAAATACAACATTTATGCAGTAATCTCCAAAATGAAATATTCATGGGGTGGGAGATTGGTTGCTATATTTACTGCATTTGAAAAGTGATAAGCTGCAAATTCATGCTTTGGTTCATTATGAGTCAATAGAGACAAACAATCCCCCAGCTCTCAGTTCCAGGGTTGAGAGGGGGTCTGGACTAGGGAGGAGGTGGCCCGAGGCCCAGAGTCTGGGTTTCTAGCAAGGGAAAGGAGTCAGCTGCTTGGGCAGGGATATGCACTTTGTTTCCCGCCCTGGGCATTTGCCACCGCTTGCAAAGGGAATGGCTGGAAATCAAGGTAAATTGGCCAACAGCTGGGTGTGGCTGTTCACAAAGGTTGGTCAGCAGCCAAGGATGCGTGGTGCTGTCACCTGAGGGGTGGCGTGCAGACTGGGCCCGATATACAGAGGGTGACCAATGACACTCCCCTCTCTCTAGTTTCATCTCCAGATGACTTGCTTATGTGGGGGCAATAGGGGCAACAGGTGGAATGAGAGAAGAGATGCGGAGAGCATCTGGGTACCAAGGCTGTCTCTGCTTTCACAGACGGTGAGCTGTGTGGGGTTGCCTGGGCTCTCTGAATGCCAGTTTGCTCATCTGTAGGTTCAGCTCCATCACAGCTGTGCTGACAACCCCCTGAATCAGCTGTGAAGGCGTGACAGGTGAGGTTTATGAAGGTTCTTGCTAAGTGTTCAGGAAGCACCATTCATCCTAGCCATGGACCGACCCAGGTGTCAGTCCCTTCTTACAAAGCGGCAGTACCCTCCACAATCCCTCATGTTCCTGACCACCCTTTTGTGCTCTGCTTTTTTTCATAGCATTTAAAACTTTGCATTACCATATACAAGGTATTTATTTAGTTTACTGTCTCCTTACTGGATGTAAGTCCAAGAGGGAAGAGGGTTTTTGTTTTTTTTGGCTTATTTTTGTTCATGGCTGTATCCTTAGTACCTATAATAGTACCTCGCATACAGCTGGTCTCAATAAATATTTCCTAAGCCAATGAATAAAGGGAAGCGTAACAGCTAACAGCCATGCTGGTTGTTCAATCAGGAAGTAGCAGCCCTTAGTTAACCAGGTATCTGATTCTTCTAATATACACTTGACAGACGAAGGAACTGA